AATTGTAAAATAATTTCTTTTATGGACGGACAATCTAATTGAAACTTTCAAGACGTAATCATAACATTACAATGTTTGTACATTCTAAAGCATAACTCTCTAGAACTAGAAATATGTTTTTTACAAATTAGTGACGAAGGAGGCGTGGTGTCCCAAATCTGTAAACATGTTTGTTTCAGCATATGTACAGTGGCTCATTTATTAAGGAAATTTCGGAAACTAGAATAGTAAGAGCAATATTTGCAGAAGCTCACGTGATCGTCAAACACATGCATACATATTATTGCACACCATAAGGATATAACCCGATTTGTCGTTTATGGCTATCTTCTCTACTTGCAGACATAGAGATGAACGAAGACTCTGACAGATGTTCCCTTTCAACACCTTGCGGTCGTTTCGACTCTGCACGGGCAATAGACGACCACGATGCGACAGACGATGACATGACCTTCTGCATGTCAAACTACGCCAAGGAAGCGCTAAAGATGATGTTCATGATGCGGTCCCATGGGATGCTCACAGACGTTGTGCTCGAGGTAAAGAAGGAGCTCTTTCCCGCACATAAGGTGGTTCTCTCTGCCGCATCTCCGTACTTTAAAGCCATGTTTACTGGAGGACTGAAGGAGTCCGAGATGTCGCGTGTGCAGCTCCAGGGGGTAAGTAGAGTCTAGCTACATAGCTAAAGCTTATGTCTATAATGGATGAACAGCACGGTCATCTTTCCTAGGTATGCCCGACGGCAATGGCGCGTATTCTCTATTTTATGTATACTGGACAAATACGCGTCACAGAAGTCACCGTGTGTCAACTTCTACCTGCTGCAACCATGTTTCAGGTGCAGAATGTCATTGATGCGTGCTGTGCGTTTCTGGAGCGGCAGTTGGATCCAACCAATGCTATCGGCATTGCGAATTTTGCCGAACAACACAGCTGCAGCGAGCTGCAGAAGAAAGCAAACTATTTCATAGAGCGACACTTCATGCAAGTATGTTACGAGTGGTAAAAGATTCCATTTGTATTATAGAATCGTGATAATCTTTGTACGAATCATAGGTGTGCCAGGAAGAGGAATTTTTGCAGCTGTCCGCCTATCAGTTAATAGCGCTTATAAGGCGCGACGAATTGAACGTGCAGGAGGAGCGCGATGTATACAATGCTGTCCTGAAATGGGTGAAATACGACGAGGACAATCGCCATTCCAAAATGGAACACATTCTTGGCGCGGTGAGGTGCCAGTTTCTAACGCCCAACTTCCTTAAGGAGCAGATGAAAAACTGTGACGTGCTCCGCAAGGTTCCCGCCTGCCGCGAATATTTGGCCAAGATCTTCAAGGACTTAACATTACACAAGTGCCCAGGCGTGAAGGAGCGTACGCCAAACACGACGCGCATGATCTTCGTCGCTGGCGGATTTTTCCGTCATTCTTTGGATATATTAGAAGCGTACAATGTAGATGACAAGACGTGGACCACCCTACCGAATCTGCGCATCCCACGTTCCGGTTTGGGAGCGGCATTTCTTAAGGGCAGATTCTACGCAGTGGGCGGACGAAACAATAACATTGGCTCTTCATACGACTCCGACTGGGTAGATCGATATAGCGCCATTAGTGAAACGTGGCGGCCCTGTTCTCCGATGTCTGTGCCGCGTCATCGAGTCGGGGTGGCAGTCATGGATGAGCTAATGTATGCTGTTGGTGGATCTGCAGGAATGGAATACCATAATACTGTTGAATAGTAAGTGGCCTATAACACACACAAAATGGCAGCCATTGTTTTTATTTGTGGCTTTTAGCTATGATCCTGACCAAGATCGATGGACTCTCGTCCAGCCCATGCATTCCAAACGCTTAGGCGTTGGCGTTGTGGTTGTCAATCGCCTGCTTTACGCCATTGGGGGCTTTGATGGCAACGAACGCTTGGCCAGTGTAGAATGTTATCATCCGGAGAACAACGAATGGAGCTACTTACCTCCTCTGCAAACGGGTCGCAGTGGAGCAGGTAAGTTCACTCTATAATCTACATAATGTAAATGAATATATACTGTGAATATTAATGCAGGTGTAGCTGCCATTAATCAGTATATCTACGTCGTGGGTGGCTTTGATGGCACTCGGCAGCTAGCTACGGTAGAGCGATATGACACGGAGAACGAAACTTGGGATATGGTAGCACCAATACAAATTGCACGGAGCGCTCTTTCGCTGACCACACTCGATGGCAAGCTGTACGCAATTGGCGGATTTGATGGCAACAACTTTTTGTCAATTGTAGAAGTCTACGATCCGAGATCGAACACTTGGGAACAGGGCACTCCATTAAACTCTGGTCGCTCTGGCCACGCTTCCGCGGTTATATACCAGCCCTCCTGCGCCTCCACATTTATGGACTACGAAGAAACAGTAATACCCAAGCGTGACGACAGCAATGATGAAAGGCAGAACGACTCCTCTCAATATCCGTTTGGAGGCAGAAGCCCAACCTTTACAGGCATTCCATCTAATATGCAGTTTCACGCATCTTACGGAGCCGGCGGGTGCCATAATTGCGAATCAAACATGAAACCGAGTGACAATGATTTGGCGGCCTTAAGTATGAGAAATACTGCTGAGGAATTTGTCAAACAGTCTTGTTATATATCAAACATTCGACTGTTTAACGATAACTTAAGGAATCGGGATCCTATGGATAGCCATTGCAAGAGTTCGTCCTCAAATGTTGTCAATGCACAGAGACGCTGCATATTGAGCCCAATGTGTATAGCCATGCAAAATATAATAAATAAGAGCTTGGAATGGCACTATAAAAAGATCACACCAACGCCATGACAATTATTTGAATAACTGAAAGTGTTTTTGTGAAGCCAAATAAGCCAATTTCTAGAGTGTAACAAATCACATATATACTATTAATATTCCATTTCGTTAATCATTCCAGCCGAACATGTTAACATACAAGCGTAGCCTAGGTGTGCACTTCCATAGTTGAACCATTAATGACTTAACTCGTTGTATTCAAAATATATTTAATAGGTGATTGTATGGATGTATCTATTCATACGAGGATATGCAATATAACAAGATGCCTTTCATTAGTTAGGTAGATTAACTAATATCATAATATCGTATAATGGATACTGTGGTTCAATAGCTTGTACAAACCTCTTAGAATATATTATTATGGTAATTAATAGGATGTAAG